TCTCCTCCTATATCAGTCAGATCTGATTTGACTGTATACACACACACACACACCCATACACACACAATAATAAAATACAATAATTTTTTAAAAAAAATATATTGCTATCTTGTTTTGGAAGCAGGCATGGTATCCACTTCCTAAACAACTTGATAATTGATGACAGTTATAGAAAGAGTTCAGGCCTATTTTGTTCATAGGATCATTCGACGGCAATAAACAACAACATTTATTTACTCAGAATGTTTGACAATATTCAGTCCAAAAATCAACTAAAATCAACTAAAGGCAAGAAATATTTGCCCTTATATGGGACTTGTGCTCTCTAATTTGCCATAGTCCTCATAGTCTTCCCTAATGTCCCTACACTGAGATCATATTAGTTAGTTCCATTCATCCCTTTATATGCACAGTTATTCCTCCCTCCCCAGAACTGAGTTACACTGATTTTGAAATTCTTATTTCCCATTTCCAATTACCTGCCTAGTCCTTGTGGACAATTGGGTTTGTTCCCACTTAATGTCAAGCATGGGAGTTCCAGTGGCTTTGTGGTAAGGAACTGTGCCGCCAACTCAAAGACATATAGCTTCGATCCGGCTGCTCTGGGGGAGAATGATGAGTAATCTCTTCCCATGTGATGTGTTGCCTCTGAGAACACACTGAAGGGTCAGCTATGGATCAGTGCCAGCTCAGTGGTACGCAACATGTTATCCAAAGATTTTATTTTAGAATTGGATAAACTGAGGTCCAAAAGAGAGAGAAATAACATGAACACTCCTCCGCAGGCCTAGTGGTTGGCATTGCCAACCCAAAGACACGTGGTTCTCCCACCAGTTGCTCCTTGGGAAAACAATGGGGAATCTCTTCTCATGCAATTAACTGTCTCTGAAAACCCACTGGGGGGTCAGCTATGAGTCAGTTCCAACTCAAAGGTACAAAATAACAATAATTAACACCAGAATTATGACTGGCACCCAAGGTTCCTTGCTACCAGCCCATCAGAGTTTTGTACTATCTTAATACATCGTTTTGATTTTATCTAGGACTTCAAGAGGGTTTCTTAATGAAAGAGTCACATATTGAGCGTGCTCTCATTCAAATCCACACACTGCTATTGAAAACACACACAGCAGGTTGGGGCCCTACTTTGTGAATGCCTCCTGTGCCTTTCAGATAATGAGTCAGGCGTTCCTTTGGGCCTCTCAGTGTGGGTGTCTCCACACAGGCCGATTGTTTTCTCAGTCAAAGCATGTCCTTCGCTGCCTGAGTCTGTGCCTGTCTGGGAGCTCCTTTGCCCCTGCAGACTTTCCATGGACATGTTGAGTGTTTTGAGATCCAGGTCTTTGGAATGGAAAATCCCACGTGTCTCGACATTCTTGTGAGCGAATATTTGTACCAGTGACAAACAACCAACCAGAGCACCAATTAGCATTTTCCAGCAAATGCTCAGAGAGGCATATGGCTGAGGCGACCTATTGCCTAAACTCAAATTCCAGCTCGGCTGCTCTTACATGTGCGACCTTGGAAAAGTTAGGCATTTGTCCGGGCCGTAGTTTCCCCACCTTTACAATGAGGGCAGTCATGGTACCTACATCACGGAGCTCCTTGGAGGATGAAAAGCTAATTTTTAACAATTCATAGAACAATGCCCCCACATACTAAGTACTATATTAGAATAACATTCTTGTGGATAATAGAAATGAAAACAGTAAGTGTCCTTTCTCTCACTTGAGTGATGCAACCCTCAACCCCAGGGTTGCTGTGGATACTCAAGAAATGCTAGTTTTAATATCATAACTGTCTGGGAGTCTTTAAAAAAACATCCCATTGAAGACACTCACCCAAACTTAATGAAACAATGAATCTAGATGCAAGATGTGAGAATATTTTTTTCTCTTAAGAAAAAAAAAGCTTCTTGTAGGATTCTAATCATTAGCCTCATTTAGTAACAAGTCTTCTCATATTTATCAATATTGCAGAACTCACTACTTCCTAAAACTATGTAACACAAAAGTCTTTCCTAGGCCACGTAGGACATTTCCAATACCTTTCCTAAATGATAGCCCTTCAGATATTTGCAGATAGGTATTTTGTCCTTTCTGAGCATGTTCTCTTTTTGGACAAAATAGCCACATTTTCTCAGGGCTCTTAAAAAGTATGGATGGTCTTGGTGCATTCCACAACATGGGGAACCTTGGCATTATGCTGAAAAGGATAAATCAATCACAAAAGAACAAACACCATATCATCATACCTATTCGAAATAAGCAAATATAAAGAAAACGAAGATTATTACTGGTTATCAAAGGTGGGAGGACAAGAGAAAGAGCCATTGTGATTTGGGGACATTGAATTTCTGTCACAATGGTGTGGAATAATTTAGAAAATTATAATGATTGCTCAACATGAAGAATGTAATCAATGTCACAGAATTATACATGTAGAGAATGTTGGAGAAAAAAGAAGCAAAAAAAAAAAAGAGTATGAGAGAGCTGACTCTTTTCGTTTGATCCCTAAGAAAATTGAGCTACAAGATACTACAGTTATCATCTGACATTTAACTGACCAGAAAATGAAGGTTTTGAGGCTCTAGGACAAACAGGAGCTATCAACTGGCAGTTGGTTGTGAACCTTCATTCTAGAGGCTGAGAATGTCTTGTATGGATGTGGCCTCCTGAGTGTGCCTTCCTGTGCAGAAATCTGAGGTTCCTGAAATTTCTTGATGTAGCTGGCATATGAAGAAGAATCTTGGCCCCACACGTCAGCCAGGTTCCTCTCGATGTTGATTATGTAGACATATCCATAGTTAAAACCCAATTCATTCACGAAGAACTGTGCATCTTACTGTATGTAATACTCTAATAAAAAGTAACCAAAACACTTAGAAAAACAGAAACAAATTTTCTCAAAAGGATTCACCTTAGATTGGGCCAGTTGGATAGCCAGCTCTGCATAAGAATACATCGTAGATTAGCAAGTTACCCAGAATACCTAGATGGAGTGTCAGTTCCTTGCATAAATTGTAGGTGTGAGGCATGGGGGTGAATATGAAATCAACCATCAGCTGAGACATTTTGAGCAAGAATTTAGGAATTTTAGGCCTTATTTTATACTGCTGTGGTAGATGCCCCCGGTCTCCGGAATATAATTATAGGGCAAGTGAAAACTGGTGTTTAATTGTGCATTCCAAGGCTTCGTTGCAAGAAGCTGAAAAATTGAAAATAACTGAAACATAGTATTTGTGTGTGTATATATATGCCATTTATACTTGAGGTACAATTCAATATTTTATATCATTCCCAGAATGATGTAGGTCTCATTTAAAACCATAGCTTAAAAAAGATGTAGTCCAACTCCTTGTTGCCGTTAAAGCAAAAGATGTTCTGGAATTCCTATAAGGCGACTGAATGACTTCACCCTAACTGACCACAAATGATCCTAAATATAATCTTTGTCAATGTTCAGAAAAGAATTATTCTAGAAATCCTGTCAGTACACCTGACACTATATAAGTTTTGAATAGTATTAATCCAACACCACTAATAGCAACACTAAACTAAACTTTCCCAAATTAATAAACTGAGCACTTGAAAGGATTAATGTCTTATCCAAGGTCACACAGCTAGTTTCTAGAATTACCCATGACTCCTGATTTCAAGCACAGTGGCTCTTGCTGCAGTCAAAGTGATCCTTTCCTATTCGGGCCTCCCACCAGTTGCAAATTTGCACTGGAAGCATAACCAATTGTAGTAGTGCTACAGTTTGGGGAGCAGTCATGCAGGGTGTCAGGACATGGAAAGATGGTCAGGAAATGATGCAATATTAAACTAGCAAGTGATGTCATAGCATGATTTCCTAAACGATTTACATAAATGCAAGTTCCCAAGAAACTCTGGCAAATGCCAGCCAGTGGGAATGCTGCATGAAGAACCAATGGCAAGCAGGAGAAAGGAGCATAGAGGAACCCAGATGTCCTTGCCCATCACTATGACAAGCTCCTGAGATTTCTCATCAACCTGAGAAAACTCCCTACTGCCTCTCTGATCTAGTGACTTCCCTCAGGCTCTCAGGCTCCAGAAAGCTGTCCTTTCCTCCTTATCTTTCTGTTTACTTGCACAGACATCCAGCCATTGCCAATGATGCAGAGAGTGACTCCCAGTGGGGTGAAAGCAAGTTTGGTAGTGACACAGGTTACTCAAGGACGTTACATTTTAAAATTAGTCTATTTTCTTCATTATAATTGAGACCTAATCCTTTAACATAGCATTTCAATAAGGTACAGGTTCAATTCTCCAGTTCTGGAAATGTCAATCTCATGGGAATGAATTTGTTGGGTTTTGGAGACGATGCATGAATGAAGAGAAACACCCAGACAGCAATTTTGTTTCGATCCCAAATAGTGCAATACATATTAATAAAGAAGTTTTCTTAACATAAGAATGTATATGTGCAAAGGAGGACAGGCTCTGATGTGTCATCCTAGAACTGATTGTCAATGGAAGTTTATAAAAATACCTAGTTAGACCAAACTCAGGAGAAACTGATACGACTATGTCGAGAAATAAATAGTTCAGATCACATCATGCCAGGTCAAAGCATCTCTCTGATTTTTCCTTTCCTCTGCTTTTCCCCTTCTCCCCAAATACCCATTGCAATTCAATTTAAGCAAAGCTAAAGACCCCATCAAAAGCCAGAGATCAAAGCAGTTCCCAATACGTCTAGAGATTTTTGGATTTGAAGACTTCCCTCAAATCTCATTCTCATGATGCAAAAAAAAACAAAACAAAACAAAAAAAAACAAAACCAATCAACAACAAAACCCAACCCCGTCGTCTCACCCAGCACCCGTCTTTCTGAGAACAGAGTCTGGACACCTGCACAACCTCAGCCACAGTCGCAACTATTTCTCTTTCCCCATCACTGCCTGCATCTCCTCAAACACCCCCCCGGAATACCAGACACAAAATTACGTGGAGCAATTGAGAGACATTTGTAAATACCTTCTAGGCAGCAGGTCCTCCACAGCCCTGAATGGGTCATTACTTCTTCATTCTTCCTGCTGGTTTCATTATCACTTGTAGATTTAGTCCTGCACACACCTCTGGAATATAACCAGTAGTCCGTGCCCACTGCAATGGTCATTAAACTAAAAGCTGCAAAGGCTCCCACAGTGGTGATCAACATCTGGATACCTCTGTCACACATCCTCATAATTCTTCATGGTATTCTGGACGGCTGGGAGTTGGGGGTGGTGGTCAGTGCCAGAGGAGAAAAATCACTCTGCAGCTGGGTAACCTAGGGCAGGCTCTTCCAGCAATCCTGATCTCCTTTTGTCAGCATCCACGGAGACTTTGAGAGAACTGGGGTTTCCTGGCTGGAGCTCCCTCCAGTTCCCTGGTTTACTTATGGCCCTCGGAAGGGTGCAGACTCCAGAGGGTTGGTCCACATCACTGCTGCCTTCTGAGGGTCCCCGGATTCCTTTCATTCCTAGCGAGCTTGGTATAGATGAGGGTCTGTGCAGGGCATGGCTCCTGGTGCCTGGAGCTACCAGCTCGGTTTGAGATGCTTCTGGCTCCTCACAGCCCCAGGAGACTCAAGGCTAAGAAATCCAGAGAGGTCTCTGTGTGTGTGTGCGTGCGTGCGTGTGTGTGCGCTTGTGTGTGTGTGTGTGTGCGCGCGCGCGTGTGTGCGCGCGCGCGCGTATGTGCTGGGGGTGAGGGCGGATGGCAAAAAATAGCACTGCTGGGAGGCGAGTCGCTGAGAAGAGTGTTCACCGCTTCCCCAGCCTCCCAGGAAAGCTCTCCGCCTGCTCCCGACACCCCCGCTCAAACTGGAGAAAAAGACAGTCCTGGGGCGGGGGCCGGGGTGGTTTGCTCTGGGGGTAAAAGGCTGGGGTGCTGAAAGGACAGCTCCCTCGCCTGTTGCCCCGCCTCTGCTTTCCCAGTGCGCGAGCGTTCAGGTCCGTGGTGCTGAAGGGACAGCTCCCCGCCTGCTGCTGCTGCACCTCTGCCTTTCTAGAGTTCAGTGGGAGACATGGGGTGCAGAAGGGACTGCCCACCCCCTTCCTTCCAGTCGCCTCTCAGGCTAGCCAGCCGGCTCGGTTCTGCCGAGTCAAGCCCACGCTCCGCTCAAAGTTTCCGGCGTCCAGGGCAGTCAGCGCCCTGGCTCCTCGGCGCTGCAGCACCATCCTGCCCCTTCGCTCCTGGAAGGGTTAAGGGGAAGGGAAAGAGGCCCACAGCGCGTTCTGGCGCACTCTCGCACTCTCGGCTCCCACCAGAAACGGCTTCTCCCCCTACCAATGAGCCAGTCAAGTTTGCCTCTTGCTTCTGGAGCCAACTGGGGAGACAGAAGCCACGAAAGACCTAGTCTTCTTAAAGGGACCGGAGAAGCCCGGGAGACGGGTTTTATGGCTCCCTTGGGCTGGCAAAAAGTGTTGTCGTAGGCACATCTGGGTATAGTCTGTCTCAATTTGGCTCCCCAGAAAACAAACCAATATGTCTACCCTCCATTCTCCGGAGCAAAGGTTTACACCGGAGACAAACGTGCTCAAATGAGACCGGAACTGTTCATATACATACAATCACGTATTCCTAAAAGACCCAAGGAGCTACACGTACAGAGAGACACTTCGTCGTGCACCTTGCAGGGACTTTGAGGCAGAATATGTGAATTTTGGCCTGTGACTACATCTCTCACATATTTTAACACTCTTGTATTTAAGGGAGTGATGGATTCAAAGTGAAAGAGTCACTGAAAATTCTTTCCAAAGGTCTCTGAGAAGGTATCTTGTTAACATTCTTGTCTAAGTCAAACCTTGAGGCAGGTGAAGTCAGTCCTGCAAAGTGCACATGAGATTGTACACTTGAGAGCTGATGGGACTATTCCTTGGAATGAGCCAGTGTTATAAAAGATCAACAGTGAATTGGCTCTTTGTTATAATATCTTCTGGCGTGTGGGATCCTGGGGTGGTGCATGCCGGCTGACGGGGTTCAAGTCCACTTAGGGGTGCTTTGAAAGGCTTGTTGACGTGTTTCTGAAATGGCAGCTGTAGAAAATATCATGAAGCACAAGTGTGCTATCAAAAACACGGAATCACCACAAATCTGAGCAGACTCGGTGGAAACTGAGACTGGAATGTTGTCTTCTGCGAACGTACACTGAGTTGACTAAGGCCGTTCAGCAGAAACCTCTTTATTATTAGTGGGGTCTGTGTGTGTGTGTGTGTGTGTGTGTGTGTGTGTGTGTGTGTGTAGGGTGTTTCCTCCTATGGTTTGACAGGCACTCTGGTGGTGGCTTCTTGTTGTTATGTACCATCAAATCAGAATCAACTCATAGGCGACCCTCCAGGAGGTATTCAGAGGTAGTAAGTCATATAAGAGGAAATTGCCCATCCTTCTCCTGTGAAGCAGCTGGTGGATTTGAACTAGGTGTCTTCAGATGATAAGTGCACTTCATTACCACGGAACCACCACAACTAAGGTGTTGTGCTGCCAAACCCAAAGGTATGCGGTTTGAATCCACCAGTTGCTCCACACCGAAAACTCTGTAGCATCAGCTATAGGTCACTTCCAACTGGATGGTATGCAAATATAACAAAGACTGATAGGTTGTTTAGACAATTCCTGATGAGTCCACAATCAATATTGGAATGTTATTTAACTGGGCAAATATGTGAGAGACAAACATGGATACACACTCTCCTTTGGTGCAATAACAGAATGCTTCTATCCAGGTGACTGAAAAAGACAATTCAATGGTTATTAAATACAGCTCCTAACTCCCAAGTAACTTTGCTGCTTTTATTTTGACATTAAAGCTTTTTTGACTTGAGTTTGGTACTAGATATATATACATACAAGTGCATGCCTACACTTGAATGGGTAGTTACAAGTTTTGATTTGTTTGAATGTATTCCTATGCTATGCTCTATGTTATTCCTATGTTATGAGGTCTGAGTATCTGTAAATTTGCTGTGGAAGTAAAGTATATATATGGCATCAGAATTAGAGGAGGAGTCATCAACAACCTGTGTTATGCAGATAACACAACCTTGCTTGCTGAAACTGAAGAGGAATTGAAGTATTTGCTGAAGAAGGTCAAGAATTGCATTCTTCATTCAATATGGATTGTAGCTCAACATCAATAAAGCAAAGGCTATCCACACTGGACCAATTGGCAGCACTATGATAGATGGGGAGGAGACCGAGATTGTTAACAGCTTCAGCTTACAGGAAATAAAAGGATGAATTTCATTACAAAAATCTGCTGTCAGGGTTCTATCCAAAGTGCCGAAGAGTAATGATGTCAGTCTAGAGACTATGGTGTGCCTGATTCAGACCATGGTCTTCACAATTAATTGCTATGCACCAGAGAGTTGGACAATGACTAAAGATGAGAGAAAAAGAATTTATACTTTGAATTATGGAGTTAGAGAAGAGTATTGAACATACCATGGACTGCCAACAGAACAAACAGGTCTGTCGTAGAGAGGATGAAACTAAGTTGCTCCTTGGAGGCAAAGAGTTTAAAACTCCATTTTACATGCCTTGAGTATGTTGCCAGGAGAGATCAATCCTTGGAGAAGAACATCATACTTGGAAAGGTAGAGGGACGGTGCAGACGAGGAAAACTCCAGATGAGATGGATTAACATGGTAACTAGGGTAGAGGGAGTAGGTAAGCAGGAGGCAGTAAGATTGGCTCAGGATAAGCTTTAGAGCTATTGTGCCTGGGGTTGCTGTGAGTTGCAAGTGACTGGACAGCACACAACAACAATATATTGCTATAGGCCGTGTGAAAGTGTGGCAAATGCATAGCTGTGTACATATGCAACTGAATGCACCTAGATCAACTTATTTACATAATCAAACCTACACTATCCATGCATGCTTCACACACCATTCATGCATGTTTCACAGTTCATAAATGCTGATTCAAGAAGCAGGAATGCTAAAAATTTACCAAATATTAAGTTGCAAATAGAGATGTCATTTGACCCAGCAATTCCACTACTGGGAATATACCCCAAAGAAACGATAACTGCCATCCAAGCAGATATATGCACACCCATGTTTAGTGCAGCTTTGTTAGCAATAGCAAGGAGTTGGAAACAACCCAAGTGCCCATCAACAAACGAATGGATAGAGAAGCTGTGGTATATTCACACAATGCAATATTACGCTGCATTGAAAAACAAGGAACTCATGCAATATTATTCAAAATGGGTGACCCTGGAGGACATTATGCTGAGTGAAATATCTAAGACACAAAAGGACAAATACTGCGTAGTTCCACTGTTGTAAAACGGGACTGACATCGGGGTTGGAGGGAGACTGAGAAAGATGGATAAATAATGAAACAGATGAGGGAGAAAACTGTTTAAAAGTGATGTTTGATTAGGTATTATCATGACAGGAGTCCAGAGCGAAGGCTGCATAGTGGAGATGGAACTGGGGGGAGGGATTGTAAAACAATGAAAGAATTTTACTTTTCAAAGAGAAGAGTGTACAGGAGGTGGGGGAGGTGTGGGCAGGGAGAAAAGTACAACAATGAATGGAAATCCAAAGTCTCTGTAAATTTTCATTAAAATTAATAATAATATTTTTTTTAAAAACTTACCAACTATTCAAAATAGAATAAAATATTACCACCAGCTAGAACTTAAGAGAATGACAAGAGATAGTGGGCAAAGGTATGTAAGACCTTCTACAATTTACTTAGGGGAGTTTTTAATAAAATAAAAGTTGTTCTTGCCTGACTGAAAATAAACCCAAGAACAAACCCATGCGTCTGTAACACAGAGGTGAGGGGAGCTTTGTGGTCTATCTGGTAGGGGCAGCACTGCCAATCCAAAAGCTCATGATTTGAATTCACCAGCTGTTCCTTCTGAGAGAGATGGGCAACCTCCTCCTAGGTGATTTACAGTCTCTGAAAACAGTACTGGAGGGTCAGCTAGGAGTTATTTCTGACTCAGAGGCAGATAACAACAGTATGGAGGTGACATTAGACTTTCTGGGTATAATGTTTGATTTGGGGTTTGTCTTCTTCTTTTTTAAAATTAGGTACCTTTCCCCTTTCAACTCTCAGAAACTTAAATGATATGAAACCATTAATAGCGATCAAAATAGACCCCCCAGGATCTGCTTGGCTTTCCTACCATCTAGAACAGATGAAGAGGATTCCTCTGAGAGCTAGATCCTATTGATAAAAGGTTCACGTGCTCTGGTTTAGAGAGAGTATCCTCCCCCACTTCAATAATTTCATTCGCCAAATCCTCAGTTAAACAAGTTGTTATGTACCGCTGATTTGGAACCAACTTAGAGCTGACGCTCCCGGGGGCTGGCAGAAGTAGTAAATATCACAGGAGGAAATTATCCATCCTTCTCCAGAGGAGCAGTTTGTGGATTCAAACTATGAGCTTTTGGTTGGCAGGGCAGCTCATTACCACTAGGCCACCATAGCTCCCCGCAAGACAGAAGAAGTTCCATTTCTACCCCTTCAGCTCTGTAAAAAAATTCAAGACAGACAGGTGCCCAGGAGGTCCCGCAGAAGCAAACAGGTATCTGGGTGGGACAGTGGAGAAAAGGGTCAGGAACTGGGGTAGATTACTGTGATAATTGCTGGAGTAAGATGAGAACAATTAGTCTGAAGAAGAGAAAGAGACATATACAATGCAAGAACTCAACGTCATGCTGAGCTTTTAGCCTGATGCGGCAAGCTTATTCTGTAGAATTCCTGCTTGGGACCAACGCTGATCAGAGTGTGGGAAGTCCTGAACCTGCATTTGAAGCAAGTCGGAACACCTGACTAAAGTGGGAGTGAGGGGGCAGGAAGGCCGTCAG